TTGCTCTATTTCGAGGTCCATGGGTTATAAGGTGTTTTTCCTTTTCCTTGTTGTGAATCTCCCATTTATAATGTTACTAGATAATACATGCAATCTTTAATTAGTTCATAAGAAAAAAAATATATATATATGAAGATAATTTTTTCCCTTTTTGTTTTGGCATGGACTATATATATATATATAAAGAAGGGAAACGCAAAACCAAAAAAAAAAAGATGATTGTAGATGAAGAAGGCTATCGATATTTGATGAATAGCAACCAAAAAAAAGGATGATGTAGAAAAATTACATAAACAAAAAAAAAAACAGCAACCAAAAAACTATTCAAGAAAAAAAAAAAAAAAAAGCAAAAAAAAAAAAAGAACGTCATCCTCCTCTTGAAACTCTTAAATCCCCATAGCCATAGCCATAGCCACAAATAACAAATCATCAACACCCCAAACTCAAGCATCTCCAACACCAAGCCAAGCACATGCATTCTCATTTGCTAAACTTGTGAATCTTTAGCTCCCACACTCCAAGCTCTCACGCCACAGAAAAAAAACAAGCAACGCCAATTGCTTGGATACAAGCAACGGCATACAGGATGTGTAGAAAGCGTAGAAAAAGAGAAGAAATTTTTTACCTCCACTTGACAAGCACGCACGTTCAACGACTGGAGAGCGTAGAGCACGTTCAAAGTTTCTAGGGTTTACATACGATTTGTCAAAGCCTTTTGTATTTATACTTACCACTTTAATTTCTAACGAAATTGGGCAACTTATTAATTCCTTCAAAATCAATTACTTTTTGAATACACCTAAATTTTGTTTGACTTTTAAAAAGTCATAATTGAATACGCCTTGATTTCGATGTATTTTTTTAATATCAATTGAAATCTGAATTGAATACACCCAAACTTTTACAAACTCTTTTAAAATCTAAATTGAATACACCCAGACTTTTAAACTCTTTTAAAATCTTAATTGAATACACCCCCCTTAGTGTCATCTACACGAATGACTTGAGACCAATAATCCTCCCAATTGAACAAATATAGAGTGTTTATGCATATATTTATTTCTAATGAGATAGTAAATATATATGGATATTTTAATTGAGCTATATTAGTCATTGAAATTTGAAGTTTTATGGCATGTTGAGCTTTTGAATGGTTTCGTACTCTAGAAAGTAATTTAAGTATGGAACAAATTGTGAATTTGTTGGTTGTAATTGGGCAAACAATGTTTAAAAAAATGCAAAAAGAAAGAGAATTGGGCTTAGGCCCAAACCAATAGAACCAAACCAAACCAAATCGTCTTAAATTAATTTGGTTCGGTTTGGTTTTCTTCATGACTTTTATCAAAATTGAACCGAACCAAATTATTATATTATAATTGATTCGACCGTAATTTTCTGGTAAAACAGATCCAATTTGGATTGTGCCCACCCCTACTTTGTAGCCCGACTTGGCCTATGAGAACTTATTATGCACGTTTCCTAGACCCACCCACCAATCAAGTTTCTGAAACATTATCCGCTTCTCTTTTCAGCGGCAGAGAAGGCTTCGTATTTGCTCGTAATGTTGCTATTAGCTCTCTCTGTGGCTGCTGGTCCCTGCGGTCCTGCACCTAGATGCTATATGCACGTACTCTGCTTTCCCTTTCCGTGCATGTGGGGCTTCTTCGCTCCTGCGCGCGGCTATATACTTTCAAAGCTTTCAAAAACACTGCCATTGAAGAAACAGTCAGCAGCTAGATAGCCATTGAATTTCTCTCTCTCTCTCTCTCTCTCTCTCAACCATGAAAAGCCTATGCATTGATCTTTTTAAGAATTGCAGGTTCTTCTTCTCCCCTTACTTATTCCTTACTCTGTCTACTGTTCAAATTAATTAAAGTCATTATTATATCCATTTGCTATCATTATTTTCTAATGTAGAGATGCATTAATTGAGTTCAAATGATCCCACAAGTGGCAGGGCAGTGTAAGTTATATTGTTTGTTTCAATTTTAATTGTTCTCAGTTGTTATTGTCCTGCCTCCTAAGTCCTTGAAGAGCCAAAAATTTAATTGACCTTGCAAGCCAGCTACCCATTACTGAATACTACTTTTAATTTAATTGGAAGTACTCGTTTTAATTTGCTTCCTATTCTTCTAATTACAGTGCAACCAGTTTGGCGGGTACTAGGAGCAGCAGAGTTTTAACTTACCGGTTTCAGAGAACCAACTATCAGACGCATCTGCCCTCCACCAAACTTACATTCTCTTCCTACTCGTAAGATCTCTTTTTGTCCATAAACATTTCGTTCAATTTGTATATATCATCATTTCTCAAGTAAGTTTCTTCTTCTTACATTATTTTTGTTTGTTTTTTTTTTTCTGTTTCTAGTACTAAAACTTGCTTTGCAACTCTATCGGCTGTAACCTCGGAGGTGGAAGAAAAACAAACATTCAATCCCGACAAAGCTGGCGAGCTAGTTAAGGAGCTGCGAAACAGTTTCAATTCGGGAAGGACGAAAAGCTATGAGTGGAGAATGTCACAGTTGGAGAACATTGCAAAGATGCTTGAAGAGAAAGAGAAAGAGATTACTGAAGCTCTTTACAAGGACCTCTCCAAGCCTGAAGTCGAAGCATTTATATCCGAGGTCTCATTCTTTTCCTTTTCTCCATGCTGCTGATTAAATAAGTTCTGCTTCCTTTGTTTTTCATACATAATAGTCCCAGTGTGTTTTCCAGTGCTTGTTCATATCATACACTACAATTGTGAATCTGAAAAACAAAACGAAGGTCTATTCTAGAGGCTACAGGGACACTGATATAGTATCTGTCAATGTGATACCCCAATTCTGTTGGTATGCATATTATACAAGCGTGTGTTACAGTCCCACATCGATCTATTCTAGAGGCTATAAGGACATTGATATGTATCTGTCAATGAGATAAAGTATCTATTATATGTATCAAGGGCACAGAGAAAAACCAATTTGAGCCTTGACAAGGTCCTCAGAATTTATTATATGTAGAAAGTTGTTGTATTAGTGATGATGTCAAGTGTAGGCTTGAGCATCCAGAGGAAATGTTTCTGTAGCTCAAGCCTGGACTCGTGGGCTTAAGTATTCGGTGTGGGTTCTGGTTTTCTTCTCCTGATTTGACATATTCTTTAGCAATTTTTGGTATCTATTTCCTTCTAGTTTCACTGTATGACATTCTCTATTGTGATTTAGGGTTTTAAGAAGCCTATTTATATATGTCCTTTAGAGTCTTAGCCTTTGTTTTGGGTTCAGTTACCGAATTTAGTGTTTTGTCTCTTATAGGGTTGAGACAGACGAACTGAGGGCAAAATCTGGTGTCTTTGTGGATCACCATTGTCATTGTCATCGCCTATTGGCCTAACTTGGTTTGGGGTTTGCTAAACTCTTACATTGTTGTTGATTGTTTGTTTCTTCTGCATTTTTTGAAACCAAGTTAAGTTAGTGTTTGTGCGATCTTGAGCTAGGAATCTAGTACAATATTCTTAACAAGGAATTCTAAGAATGCATAAGTAAATGTAGGGAAATTTGAGGAATTTTAGAACGAATGCAGAGAAACCTTTTCTCCAAACCAGAAATTACACTCCAAGCAGTCCTGGCTCATTGTTGCTCATGCAATGACACATGTAAACATTCTTGTTACTCAGAAAACTTTCTTTGAGGAAACACAATCCAGAAAACATCATAAATCAGCCTTTCATCCACTCTAAGGATGGCATGGTCCCCATAAATGCTCAGGAGGTGGCATGCATATTTGTTACCTTGTTTCGACCTGAAGCTCAGTGCGCTGTATACGCTTCTAATTCCCCTTATGTTTGCATGCTCTAGAAATTTGACTCCTATTTAGAGGCTCTAAGGCTTATAATGGGACTACCCCATTGTTTAACACAATGTTTTCACTGTATATAAGTTTGTCATAAATATTTTTGTGTATTTTGTCTCACGTTGTACTAATAAGTATGGATTTTTTATTAATGCAGATTGTTACTGCAAAATCCTCATGTAACGAGGCACTGAAAGAATTGAGACAGTGGATGATTCCGCAAAAGGTGATTAGAGTAAATATCCTTTTGGTCAAGGATGACAAGTCCTCTCATCCACTCTTCTTCCGGACCAATATATCCTCCAATATTTACTATAATAAGTGAAATATAAAGTAATTTTGTTGATGCGCATTTCAGGTCAACACTTCAATTACAACATTTCCATCATCAGCAGAAATTGTGTCAGATCCTCTAGGAGTTGTGTTGGTCATCTCAACATGGAACTTTCCTTTCTGTATGTTAATACGTTGCTGCACAGTTCAGAACTAGTTAGTTATACCAATCACAAGTTGCATACTTGTCACCTTTTTAGATATGACGTGCTGTTTTATTTTTATTTTCCAGTGTTATCTCTTGATCCAGTCATTGGAGCTATTTCAGCTGGCAATGCTGTTGTGCTAAAACCTTCAGAAATTGCTCCAGCTACATCTTCACTTCTTGCAAAATTAGTAGAGGAGTATTTAGATAATTCAGCTGTAAAAGTTGTTGAGGGGGCTGTTCCAGAAACAACTGCACTTTTAGAGCAGAAGTGGGATAAGATACTCTATACAGGTTATCAATCTTTCAAATGATGATCTTCCTCAATTTTATATGAGTACTTTTTTTAATAGGCTTGTAGTGACATGTACTACACTACTCAGGGTAAAAGATATGCGCCTCATTATCAATTTCTGTGGTGCTTCCAGAATCTTAATTTTAATTTTATATGATTTTCTGCACCATAGCTTTACCCTTGCCACCACTACTTGGAGGTATTATCTACATTGACCGTAAAGGTTTCCATAGTTCAAACTTGAGATTCATTACATGAAAGGTTGGCCCTTATTTTGGTAGGCTTTTCTTAATTGTGTGCCGTGTATCAGTGAGTGAACATGGGTTAGTGAACATTTGCAGTACTAGTTAGTTCATAGTTCTTTTCTAATACGTAATAACTGTTTACGTTTTAATTCTAAGTATGACAAGTCACATAGAGAAATGCGTGGTTCAAATTCAAAATCTGGTAAAAGAAGTTTGGCAAGAGAAGGTTACGCTATATGTATACATATATTTAGCGTTCTTCTTACATAGTTATATTTAGCGTTCTTCTTACATAGTTCTTTGCTTCGTGCATTGGTTGACTCCTAATTAGCTAGTAACATACTGACAGAGTATTTGTATACCGTACAGGTAGTGCAAGAGTAGGGCGCATTGTGATGGCTGCTGCTGCAAAACACCTTACACCTGTAATTCTAGAACTCGGTGGAAAGTCCCCAGCTGTTGTCCATTCAGATGTCGATTTACAAGTAATCGGTTCTCTTACATACGACAACATGAATTACCGTTTCATCTAAATTTGAGGCTTTGCTTTAACTGTTTCTGTTAAACTTTTAAGGTTGCTGTTAGGAGGATAATAGCAGGAAAATGGGCATTGAACAATGGACAAGCTTGTATCGGTGTTGATTATATTATCACTACAAAAGACTTTGCTCCAAAGTTGGTACGATGCTCCCCTAGGAAAACTTAAAATTGTGAATAGAAAAAGTTGTGTATGTTTTATTACGCATTCATCTCATATTACATAGGCAAACTGTCTCATAAGGCTATACACTTATTTTTAGTCTCTCCGTCTAATAGCTTGAGCTTTTCGGTTGGATACTTCAACATGGTTTCAAAGAATTTTCAGTCTCCTCAAAAGAGGAAGGTTCACCACACGTGTGCATGCGTGAGCGCATGCGACTATTTAGCCTCTGCATCACACTTCAATATGTTTCAGGTTACTTTTCTGAAAGCATGTCTACTTGACAGATAGAAGCTCTAAAAATTGAACTTGAGCAATTTTTTGGGAAAGATCCAATGAATTCAAGGGATATATCCAGGATAGTAAGCTCAACCCAGTTTAAACGTTTGGCAAAGCTGTTGGATGAGGATAAGGTCTCTGATAAGATTGTCCTCGGAGGCCAAATGGATGAGAACCAATTGTGAGTGACAATGACCTTCCTTGCTTGTTAAGAAATGTTAAAACTGTATATAAATAGAATGTACAATTCTTCTTAAATGAATTCTCCTTATATCATGTATTCGATGCAGGAAAATAGCTCCAACTATCTTGTTAGATATCCCAGAAGAGTCTCAGCTTATGCAGGAGGAGATATTTGGGCCATTGATGCCTATTGTCACTGTGAGTACTCGAATTACATCATTACTCTTAACATTGACCTAAGAGATTACATTCTACTCTGGACTAATTCTTAACCTAAGCAAATTGGAGAGATGAGAGCTTGAGATGAGTAGAGGAAAGCCCTCTATTTATTTGTGTGGAACAGGACTAGTTTATTTATCAACCATATGTAAATGGAAATTGAAACTAATTCATCTATTAATTTCCATGTAACTTTGTCATGCTTATTAGCCCCTCTCATTATGTCTTTTTATTAATTGGTCATAAGGTTGAGAAGATTGAAGACAGTTTTGATGTCATAAATTCAAGGCCAAAGCCTCTTGCAGTGTATGTTTTCACAAACAATGAGCAGCTGAAGAAGGGCTTTGTGGAAAACATATCATCTGGAGGAATGCTCATCAATGACACCGTTCTACATGTGACTGATTCTTCTCCTCTATGCATACATACATACATCATCTTTGCATTTCTGCATCTTCACAAACTAAAATGAAGACCTTATCGTCAACTAATTAAACCGGCATCCAACAGCTACCAGTCTGAAACTAGCACAAATAACTTGCCATTTTCTCTCAAATTGAATTTAATTGACTAAAGCCATATACTTGTCACTATCTCCGAGTTAGCATATGATACTCGCTTATATTTATTTATGCTTTTACACTGGATAATCAAGTTTAGCTGTATATCCATCTGTGTTAACCAATAAGCTAATTCATTCTTGACATGCATGCTGTGCAGGTTAGCATAAGCGGTTTACCATTTGGAGGAGTTGGGGAGAGTGGAATGGGTTCATACCATGGTAAATTCTCCTTTGATGGGTTTAGCCACAAGAAGGCAGTTCTTTACAGAAGTTTTAGTGGAGATTCATCTCTGAGGTACCCACCATACACACCTGAAAAGCAAAGATTGCTCAAGGCAGTGATCAGTGGTGACATATTTAGCATAATCCTGGCTTTGATTGGATGGTCTAAATAATGAAATTTGGCAGGCTCTAGACAGGATGTCTTCAATTCAGTTTTTCTTGTATGTAAGTTGATATGGATCAATCAAATTTAGGCCTCTTCGACTGAATAATATGCATTGCAATGTATGTATCTGTAATTGCTGTTCTGGTTACGTTATAATATTGCTTTTCCCTACAAATTTCAGTTTTGTTAAGTTAAAAAGGTTTAGGCTTTAGGCTTTCCCCTACAAATTTCTGTTTTACCAACTGGGTCTAGCCCAGTGGAAAAGAGCCTTGACTTGCAAACAAGTGGTCTCAAGTTGGAACCCCCATGGCACCTTAGTAGTGTGTGTGAGCTATACCCCACTGGTTATGTTTCAATCCATTTTGCTAAAGGAAAATAACTCAACATCAATCACTCTGTCAAACCCCTTCAGTTACCACCTTGACCAAGGCAGAGGCTACAACAGAAGTGTTACATTGTCTCCGAAAATGATAAAAGAAATTGAGAACTAGAATTGAGCTCAGCACATTGTAAAGAAGTCAGTATATTCTTCATATGTAACGTGAAGTATGCTATATAGTTTTCACCAACAGATATGGTTGGAAATAGAAATACCAAGTACACGTTATTCTACATACATACATACATACATGTGAAATATATAAAATGTACAGTGGAAATGGAACTATTCCCTTCCAATCCTATAAAGTATACAGTGGAGAATGTTTCTTTCTGCAGGATACTTCTCTGTGATCATACACCATTATAAACATGCAAGTCTGAGAACCTCACGAAGCATCACCAAAAGCTGAAACTTCTAGACTTCGGTAGCTGATCACAGTTTCCAGGACCCCATCCAATCATCTGCTTCTCATTGTCATAAATCACCATTTTATCTTGCATTGAAATGTCTGTAAAAGGAACCAAAGAAGCATGATCATTATTGTGTAACCTTCAGAGGTCATGCTTCATAATATACACATGGAAACTCTTACCCCCAATGATGTTAGAATTTTGCAGCCCAACTTCACCACCATTTAGAATTCCCAAGCAAACATTTCCCTTGGACTGCCAGCATATACATCATTAGTTTTCTAAAACAGACAGTGCTTCTACTTGAAATGGAGAACAAAATGAAGAAAAATAGGGAGATCATGGAAGGTGAAATTTACCGATATAATTAGATAAGCTTCTGGGGGCAATTCAAACTGCGTGGTATCTTTTCTACCACTAGCGAATCTTAATGCTAAGGGCTTGAAGTATGTCTTGACATCACGTACGTTTTTAAATGGCTTTCGACCTTTCCAACAAAGTGGGAGAGTCCTGTCATCTAGAGCTTCTTTTAAAGGTTTTCCAGTTAGTTCTCTTTTCAACTACAGTATGACAAGAATAACATGAATCAACTTTTATTCTAAAGTTATATACATTGAATAACAGCAACATTCTGAAAACTGTTAACTGGAAATGAAAGGATGATTAATTTTAGTGAGGCAAAAGCCATAATATGAGGGAAAATGGAAGCATTGTAAGTTCTAGATGTAAGTAATGAAAAGGCAGACTAGTTTTTGACAAAGCTCTTAACTCACCCATGAAGTCAAAAATTGATAAGCCTGAGAATTAAGGTAAGTGTATGAGCTTCCACTGTCAAAAACCATAACGAGGTTTCTAAACCCAGTAGATTTCCCACCGACTATAAGTTCCGCAAGTCCTGGGGAGTAATGTTTGCTGCATAAACCACAAGGAGAATAATTGGTGCAGGAAAAGATGATTATGAATCATGAATTATGAAGCATACATTAAAATAAAACCTTTGTTAGATGAAAAACAGGGTTCAAGAAGGGTTTATTACGTGTAATCAGGTGACATTGGTGTCCAAACTACGCGTGAAGAATCATAAAGGCCATCCCCCAAGAAGAAAAACCCTCCCCCTCGCCCACTTAAACAGTGACCAATGACATGTCGCACCAGACCCTGATTACTAAGTTGTGATACGATGCTAGATTTTCCCTTGCCAAGGCCGAGGACTCCATCTATGGGATGATAAGATGAACCAGGAAGTTGATCGTATCCACACCTGTAGACATGAAACATTAAACAATTAAATGATCAAGTATGTCAGCAAGTTTAGGAAACATTGGTTTGTGGCGCCTCAGTATAATCTAAGGTTTGGTTTCTGTTCATATCATATTGTCAAACTTAGTTTATGTTTTCATCAAGTGTCCAATAGGGTACGGTGCATACATTTCATTTTTATCTGACCCAAATCATCACAAGAGGCATCACCATATTGTTAATTCTTCTCAAACAAACTAATTAAACTTGTCAGCTTTAATTCTTCTCACTAAATTACTTCAGAGAAATAAACTACTTATCCACAACAATTAACTTAATCATGTTTCATTCCCATGAGGACTTTACGATCTAAGTTGCAACAGCAATTATACGCAGCTATTGATCTAGCTACTTACTAGGCAGTTGCAAAGAGCTGTTTGTCTAAACAAAGTTTCTTGGGAAAAAAAAAACAAAAACAAAACAAAAGGGATGGGCACACGATTTGAGCTTAATCCATTGCAAGAAACAGAAAAAAATCTTAGACCATGTAGGCCAAATCAAATAAATAGTTCCATAAGGATTTAAAATTAAAGTATGCTATGGCAATTTCTTTCATTGGCATGGTGATGAGAATCAGGCGATGATTACTTCAAGAAACACAAATATTTCAGTAGAATAGATAATTAAGCATTGTTAGAGATAATATTGATGAATAATTTAAGCAGGAAAAGTTACCAACCCAAGGGCCAGGCGAGTTGTTTGCTGGTTTCCATTGGTAAAGTTGAGGAGAAAGGAATCCCTTACAAGTACACCAAGGGATGAGCCACCATCTGCATACTCAACCTCATAGTCACATTGCTCCGGATTATCACATTTGTGGGAACCCGGTGCATGCAAGGCCTCACAGAGGGGGTCCTTACAGACCACTAGATCATTGTTGGGACGGTAAAATGGATGAGGAGCCTGCAAAGTGCAAAGTTAAAAGGATAAATATACGTTAGGACCCTTTTTCCATAACAATTTTTTTTGTATTAAGAAGGTTTAGCATTCAGTAAAATATGGGACTCCAAAAAAAACATGATTCATTAGAATTGGAGGACAGTAATTGAACAATGCAAGATATGAACAAGAAATTCAGCCAGAGAGGGAAGCGATAGATGTCGTATCAGAATCATCATGTAGGAATTAAGCAGGAGAAATGTTGGTTTCTTTAGAATACAATTTTCTTTTCTGTTTTCCATTTTAACTAGAAGCAAGCATTAGTTCCAAGCTAGATGCCCACAAGACAGTAACAAGTAACAACTAGTGCATTCTAACAAGAAAAGTTAGTACAATATGAAGTTGTGATTTATAATTAATTACCTCAGTGCATCTGACACAGGGAGCATCACATTGGAGCCATGTGAGATCACTACCAGTGTCTGGATCAAGAAAGTAGGGCTTTGGAGGCTGACCAATGTTAAGAGTGACATTATAAGACCTGCAAAACAACCCCATTGACTTGAGAGAGTTGAAAACAAACACACTTTTTGTACTATGAAGATTGATTAAAAGCAAACACATGGACTTGCACAAATGACACAACGAGACTTACCCAATAGGGTACACGTTTCCATGAACCGGTAAGACAATGGAGGAGGCTGCGCGGTTGAGCCCCAAAGACGACGTCGCTTCATCCGGTAGCATAGTTTTCCTTCTACCCCGATGGTACTGATCACCGAAAGAAGCTGATGACATAGTTGCAGACAAACCCATCACCAACAGCGACATCAACAACAACAACCACCCAGACTTTCCCTCCGTTTTCATTTTCTGTTTCACAGTAGGCAATAGAATGAATGAACGAAGGAACAAAATTAGGATAAAAGTGTTATTTTGTCTTTTTTCTATGAGAAACTTCACAAGGTGTTCGATAAAATGACTGAAAGAAAATGGAATATATTCCAATGGAGTTGGGTGAATGCATTTAAGGACTCATGGTATTGCTTGCTTCCTTTGATTTCTGCTAATTACCTTTCTTCTTCCCTCCAAGTTATTGCAGAATCCTTCTAATCCATCATATTTGAACTTCTTTATTCTTTTCTTCCTTTAACATTGGAATTGCTTGTGTGAATTTTTGCTTAGTTGGATTTTGGAACCAGCATTGTTTTTTATGCCAATTTTTTAACGAAGATACCAAATGCCAAATGCTTCTTTGCTCAAAGGAAATGACCAAATAACGTTATTTCTTGGAAATTTCAAGGTAACATTGCATTACAAGTACAAAGGGCCCCATTTTGGGCGGAAATACCTGTTTCCAAATTTTTCGAAGTCTACCAATTTCCTAAAGGAGGGGAGGAGGAGGAGCAATAAGAAGGTCGACAAAAGGAGGATGTTTAATTTCATAAAAAGAGTTTTCCTCTTTTTTTTAGTATGGATATGAAGTTTGTTGGAATATAACATGCCACATACCTTCGAGTTCAGATATGATGTTTTCGAGTTTCATTGTGTCCCATAAATAATATTTTGACACTTATCTCCAACTTAACTGGTGATTAATGTGTGTTCATTTTTGTTGAGAAAATATAAACAAAACCAAAATCTCTTTTTTTTTTTATAATTAAGAAGGGGGTCAAAGCCCCAGGAAACAGACTACACACACAGGTCTAAACAGACTAATCTAGAATGAACAATTCCAAGCAAATCATCAACAAGATAAGCACTTAACCAACTAGGGGCATGCTCAAACACGCACAGCCCAAGATCCACTTGATAACTCCAATTAGCCAATTGGTCAGCAACACCATTCTTCTCACGAAAAACATGCTGAAGAGCACAACTGGAAACCTGCTGCATAAGGTCACAACAGCTCCTAACCAGAGTAGCTAAAGGATGCACAGTAAGCATAGAAGAATTCTGATAGAGATTGATTGCAGTAGCTGAGTCCATTTCAATGATGAGACAATTGATGCCTTCCTCAATTGCTAACTTCAAACCAAAGAAAAGACCTCATATCTCAGCCTCAAGAACTTGACCTTTTCCCATATTAACAGCAAAACCACTTACCCAGTCACCAGCAGAGTCACGAATGACTCCCCCAGCACCAATGCAACCAGTAACACTTCTACTTGAGCCATCCACATTCAGTTTGAACTGTCCAAGCCT